GCTGACCGAGCTTGGATGGTGTGGAGGAAAACTTCCTTTTCAACAGTGTCACCAGCAGCCGCCCAAGTAGACAGAGCTAACAAGATGATCAAGCTGTGTACTTTCGAAGGTGAGCACGGGAACGGGCGAGTGTCTATTGTGGAGCAGCACTTTACACTTCTACGGGGCGAAGTACATTCCGTAGCTGGGTGACTCAATCGCCAAACGGTTTAGAATGGTTTATATGTTCTGTGAGTTATCAACAAGTAAATCGATGTCATGTACATCAGTCGCTCGCACGCCTGGTAATAGTTGCAGACCAAAATGACAACCTTTCAGAGCTCTCGACAGTACATCTTCAATCGCAAAATTGAAGAGGAAAGGGGACATAGCGGAACAGGAATCGGCTGGTAACGGATAACAGTGACTGGTGACATGTGAAAGTGTGTGTAGCGGAAACAAAGGCAGCTGAGCGCGCTATAGCAGATGAACGATCTATGGTTTTGTCAGTGGGCGTGATGCTACCCCGCTGACCAAGCAGAAGTAGGGAGTTGTTTAAGGGAACACCACTCCGAACCTTCGGCTAACTGGCCTGTCCGCAAGGCAACGGGGCGAATTCCGGGAATCGCGCCCATCGGGAGATGTTGAAGTGAATATCGAAGAAAAGATAATCGGAAGGCAGTTGGTGGTTATGGATGGAAAAACATCCGGTCGTAGCCGGTTATAATGAAATAGCCGAGCAGAGTAAAATCGTCCAAATACATAGATAAGATAGCTTATCAGCAGAACAAAAGTGCTTTGTTCTGATGTTTGGGTTTCGTTCGGGCGCAAGTAGCTTTACATGGGTTGGGAAACTACAAGAACGCCCAAAATAGTGTAGGAGAGGGCAAGCGAACCCGAAACGTAGAGTTTGAAAACCAAGTCTCTGAAAGACCACGGATTTCTCGTACACCTGCATGAGGAGGATTCACGTGTTGTGGGAGGGGGAATAGAGGGAAACAAAGGGTGGATTTGAGGTAGTCACCACCGTAGCAACAGGAAAAGGCAGCGAACGTTGCACGTAACAAGCCCGCTTCCGAAGTACAGTCGTTACGTCAGTCAACAGAATATTGTGTATTGAAACTGCATTAGTAACCAGTGACGCTGCATCTGATGGGGTTAACGCCTTGAATACGGAAATATGGAAAGAATGCTTGCAACAATTAGGCCAGACTTATCGCCAGTTAAAATGTGGACTCAAAGTTGCTGTTGTCATGCGGGTGTGGGCCACATCAACGGCAGAAAATGGACCAAAACAAGCATCATTAATACACGTTAGCTGAGGTTGAGAAACATGTCTCCGCCAATGTGCCGGAATACAAAAGGATAATATACCAAAAATAACAACGAAAATAAATGCAGAAAATCAAGGTTGAATATCGTATTATTAATTTTTCAGTTCGTGATTGGAGGGGGAATCTAAAGAAGAGGGGGATGGACAAAGAAACTCACAGCACAGACGTCAAAAGTCCGGCTCCTGGCCATGTCAGCGAGTGTGTCCAACCAAATATGTTTATGGTCCTTCGGACCTCAGCCTAGCAGTCGGGATGCACCAACTGACGCCAACTTCGAAGTGAGGGTGTTCATTCCTCTTGACCAAGTCATTGCTTGACTTCCCCTCCTTCCCTTCCGTTTAGACCCCAGGCGCACAAACAACGCACATCGCGGGAGTCGGTGTGCTGGCATGCGCAACACGTGGTCCAGCCATCTGAGCTTCAGCGCCATGCAAGCACCGACAGTAATGCGCGAGTTCGCCCGTATCTACGTAGGATTGAACCCACGACATATGCATTTACAAGCTAGTCGTTTGGACCATTCGGCCGCCGGGAAATCAAGCGGAAATGCATAGCTATACCATAGGGTATGGGAGTATCGAGACTTTGGGTTAGGATTCGTAAAGGTGAAGCAGTATACGTCAGGGTACCGAATGCGGTGGCTAACCGTTAATAATTTGATAGAGGCCTGGTTGTATGTCAAAATACTCACATGTAGAATTAATTAACGCAACGAAAATAAGGTCCCTGTGCATCGAGATACATTTGTCGGAAGCGCGGAACCAAAAAGGCAGACAGAGAAGGCGAAAACTGTTGGAATCGCAAAAGGTATCATGTCGACACGATGCACGAGAATGTAGAATGACACTTTCATTCGATGGTGTCATTACTGTTGCAATGTGATGATCGGCTACATTACAATGAAAGGGGTGAGAGCGTCATACATGACAAAGCATGTGTACAGTTGGATGGGCTGTTGCGAGCGCAGTAAATGGATCGACGCCTACTAGTTGTACCTTGATGAGAGGATGATGAGGTCTCAAGTTTGCAGACGTCACCGTGGCATGTCTTAAAGCAGTGGTCCCCAACCTTTTTATCGCCACGGAACGGTCAAGGTTTGATGATTTTACCGCGGCCCAATGAGGGGAGCTTGATTGTTTATATTTTAGATTGTTTATTTGTTAACTGTAACTTAATGGTTATTAAATATTAAATACAACACAGCTAAACCAAAAATGAATATAAAGTGACCTAAGATGTTAGCTCACTAAAACGCGAAATATATGAGAACCCTGAGCTTGTTCTTCTGCGACGAGACTGTTCCATTTGAGGGTACTAGGAGACAACAACATCCAAAAGGTGTTGCGTATGTCCAGCTTATTCCTTTGTTTTATTTTGGTTGCTGTCCCTGCAGAAAACACCGGTTCACACAGATAAGATGGCGGAAATGGCAATAGGGATTTAAGTGCTGTGGTGGCAATCTGAGGGTAATTCACCATGATTTTAATCCAGAACACCGGCACAGTCTCGAACGCAGTTTTAAGGCAGTCGTCATTTGTAATCTCCAGCAGTTGATCTTTTTGCAAAGATATACTGGATTAGCCTGATTTGTTGATGAATCGCGGGTCCATTCCTTACGAGTTCGTGAGTCGTTTGTGGTTGGGAAGTAGTGCTCGAACTCTTTTAAAAGCAAAGACAGGTGATCGTGCACCAACTGGGTGGTTAAATGCTCTGGGTCAGTCTCGCTCAAAATGCTCGCTAATAGTTGAAACATATCCAAAATATCTTTGTTCACGCGATGTCTCCACAACTCCAGTTTCGCTTTAAATGCAGCTACATTGTCTGTCAACTTGAAAGCAGTTGTCATTTTCCCCGAAGGGATAAATTGAGTTCATTGAGCAGGCTGAATATGTTACACAGGTAAGCCAGTTTTGCGACCCATACCTTATCACTGAAATGTGCAATGGCTCTCTTAATCCAAATAATCTGGTTAGCAATTTTCCTCTGTATAACCATCTTATTTTCATGTACAAGTGAAGACATCTGGGCTTTGTTTCCATCTCTTCACAAAGCAGCTCAAACAGGCGCGAGTTAAGGGCGTGTTTTGATGTGGTTAATAGCTTCAACGACATCAATCGATGCGCTGTTGAATTCCGGTGACATTTTTTGGCTTGCCAGCATTTCCAAGCGAAGTATACAATGAGTAGATACACTCTCAGGTGCAACCTCCTTAATCCGAGCAGTTAAACCAGACAGTCGTCCGGTCATGGCAGCAGCTACGTCTGTGCATATGCCAACACAAAAGGACCGTTTTAATTTTCCTGATATATAATCATCTAGTGCCTTGAACAGTTCTCCTCCTGTGGTGTTGGTTGGTAAAGATAGTGCACATAACAAATTCCCATGCACATCATCCTGATATAGATGTCGCACATAAACAAGTAGTATTGCCTTGTTGTCGATATGTGTAGATTCCTCAACCTGGAGTGCGTACCACAGTGATATATATTAATCCTCCAACAATTGTGTCTCAATGTCTCCGGCTATTTCCTCAATTCGCCTAGTCATAGTTTTAGCCTACAAAGGCACGTTCTCTCCTTTTAACAGCAGCCTCACCTAGCAGTTCACGGTAAATGTCTTTAGTGGAAGGCAAAATTAATTCTTCACCGACAATGAATGACTTTTTAGCCTTCGCAATACGGTTAGCCATTAAATAGGATGTTTTAAATGTATTCTCCTTTATTGATGTGGTGGCCCTCAGAAATTTCTGCTCTTCGTGTTCCCGTATTTTTCTTTCATGACACTCCAGTGACTTGTCTTTTAATCCAGGGTACTTGAAGTTCAAATGGCAAAGCTGTTTTGAAGCTTTAATCGCCTCATTAGAGAGCCGGTAGCCGCAAACTATGCAGATCGAGATTGGGGTGTGGGAATCACCTGTCCCGATAAATCTATATTTCAAGTAGGACTCATAGTATTGTCTGGGAAAAGTTTTATGTTTCTTTGAGGTTGAAGGCTCTTCTGTCTCTTCTCCTGGGCTTTTCTTTTTCCCTTTGAGTCCTTCTTAACGACGTCTGTTTCGTACTCATTTTTGATGATTTGTGGGTTAAATTTGGCCGCTCAAGTGACAGAGATGTAACTTGGAGAATAAAACATCATTAAACTCAGAGAGTAAATGTTAACAAAAGATGGTAACAATAAAACACAATATGCACGTACACCAAGCACTGTTAAACATGAGAAAGTACCGCTGAACAGAGAGAAGAGCGATACACATCTGTCTAGTAAAGCTACAACGACATTGCCAGTTGCAGCCACTCAGCTCCCAATAACCCCCGTCCATGGAAAGTTGCACAATCGGACCGGTACCGGTCCATGGGCCGGGGGTTAGGGACCACGGCCTTAAAGGACTGAATTGTTGATCAGACGAGCAGTAAGAAGCAATGAACACGAAAGGGTTCAGTCGTCAACAATACATTTTCGGAAAAAGCACAGAAACGTAAACATCCAAAATAGTGCCACCCAAGAGAGAACGAATGAAGCAGATTGCATATGACACTTAATAGCGTAAAAGTTGTAAGACGACAAAAAGGTTAGAGAAAGAAACCTGCCACCCATAAACATGCGCAAAGTGGACGAAAAGTCCATACAGTAATGCCAAGGAACAAAACAACAATGGAAAACAAATTCAGAGAAAAAACAATAACATACCTTAATGTCGATCAGAATCTGCCGTCAAAAGGGAAAGCCAGTCGGCGCAAACTGACATATAAATACATACATCAAACAAGATCACAACAGTGGTATCGCAAAACTGGTCAAACTTACGCGATTAAATTGGTCTACTAAATGGCCGCACTCCGGCTCAGGGAGATCGGGTATATCATCCATAACTTCGGGATAAGAGAGCTGTAAAAATCAAAGCAATAATTCAGGAAAATTAATTAATCCAGAGAAAAACAAAGTTTGAACAGTGGGTAGAAGTTATTAAAGAGAGTTTTGAAGGCAGAGAGACAACAGGCGATAGCGTCGGTGTCCAGCTTGAAAATGATAGATCGCAATGGGGTGGGATGACCCACACACCTGTGTCCGGATGGGCGACAGTGTGACCTTCCTATGTCAGCATTTGCGCCCGTCGACGGAAGTATAGGACATAACGATAGATGGATCGCAACTGCACCAGATATCCGAAGTGGGAAGTTGATGACTTCGTAATGACGATAGGAATCGATTTAGCTCAAATTGACCCCGATTGCAACCACGGTTTGTGGCACAAGAGTTCATATCCAACTAGTGATCGCAATGCTGACCGATATCGTATGGACCAATAACGACAGATGGAGCACTCAAGACAGTCAGCCAACCCTGAACATCAACCCAGCCTTCGAATATTCTTCTCGCATGAAAATCACCTTTCCGACGTTAATGGGACGCATATATGCCCGATTGTATGGATAACACCCAAAACTATCAATCGGAATAGTGGTAAGGTCAACCCGAATTGCAACGCTGAATATCTCTAGTAGAAGTCGTGGATGGGAAATACACCAATCGAAGCGAAATGAATGTTGCCCAAGACGGCATTTTGTTCAGCCTGGTGCTCCAAAATACAGGGTGAATTCTGAAGCGCTGTTTAATTTGAATGGTGCATAAATGCCTCTTGTGGGTCGACAGGTGTGAGAGGTAAGAAAGAGCCCAATATTAAAGGCATCAGAGTTTAAGAATTGACCTGAACAAGAGGTGAATGCAGGACGGAAGAGTTTTGAACAGTAGATAATAATCTCAACTCACGATAAGAATGGACGCGAATTGCTTCAGTAAACAAAAAACTCAGGATATATGGACAGATGGTAAAATCTCGGACCCTTAGGAATGGAGTGTTCGTGAATTCAATCAAACGACGGGAAACCATTGCAATATTAGTACCCTAATATAACAATGACAACGCTCTGACCACTAACAAAACATAACGGTGTGAGAAGCAAGCACGGAAGAAATAACTGTCGGCAGAACCGCAAGTGGAAAGCGATATAAGAGAGCTGCATATCTCGAGTGACAGAGATGACTGCAACCTACGAGTTGTACAAAGGGGTCAAGTGCTTTACATTAAGGAGAGAAAGGGTGAAAAAGTAAATAAAAAGCCACTGAAACAAATCGGGGCGGCCCAACTGCTCATCAGCTATCAAGCTAATCGCAGAGAGCAGAGCGACTACAAATCGTTCTCGATAATTGCCATCCTCGTCACAGTTCTGTGCAACCAGTGTCCTGAGTGACGTGAGGCGGACGTTGGATGTCCCCGATATCGCACATCTCACATATCGGGTGCCCTTGCTATCAAGCCCACAGTTAAACCTGAAATTCTTGATCAGACATAACTGTCGACAAATGGAATCGGTTTTCCTGCTTCGGTAAATCTCATCAATGCCGCAACACTCCTTTTACTAACCACAGTCCCATGCCAAATTGACAATGACGCCATTGTCATAAATCCGAGCATCTGGAGTGTAGACGTACCAAGACCACTAGTCACATTGATAGATCTGAATCTCAGTGTGAACTACGCAACGGTTATCATGTCTGGCATAAGATTAAGTAAAAAGCAGTTTACTAGGAAAGCGTTTGATATTTTCCATAAACCTAAGAGCATAAAATCATGACGATGAAATTACCTGTTTCACAAGTTGAGAATATTTGTGCGCAGACAGCAAACATGCTGAAATTTCAGCAGTCTGGAGGGCCGAATTTCGCACTGGGGAGCGTGGTCCTGTGGGAATGTCCTACTATCGTCATTACAAAATCGGATGAAGTAACGTCACGATGACAATGAACAAGTCGAGGCATGAGGAAAAATTGAGGAGCATCTAACAACAAAGCCGTACAACGTGAATGGGAATAAAAGTACTGGAAATGAATAAGAATAAAACAGGTTGGTAACCACCTGAAGAGCGTGAGGGACTACCTAGGCCCGGTTAGATAGTGCAGTCTATACCTGAAACCAATTCTTCCACCGAGGGTTTATGGGTTACCGAAGAGAAAGAAACCAGACGCTTGGTTCTTCGATGCACGAACTATCCAGATATTCGGCCGGATTGTTGTAACCTCGTACAAAGAACAAACACGTTCGTAAAGAACTTTTAGGAGTTGGCGTGACAGATGGTAGGTTTGGTGACCGAGTCAGATGAAATAGTGGTCGATTTCGGAGTTAGCCCATTATTCACTTACGGGACCGAAAGTGACCTGTTGGGGACAACAAAACGTTGTCTTAATGGGGACATGGCTTGGAAGAATGAAGTTCATGACAGACTGAGTGTTGTCCATTTCACACAATTTCGGGGGCAATACAGATCATCCGTTTGACTTTCAGGATGACTGGTATTCAAGTCAGCAGTACTGCTGGGCAGATATAGCTTTCCAACAGCAACCAAGGGGATTCGAAGTCAGATGCTTCGCGCAGTCGTTGCACATCTTGTAGCGTGTAATTGACATTCGTTCTTGCATAGAATGGCCTATGATAGGCTCCAATTAGTGAAACAATTGCAGAGAAATTCGGTCAGCTTACTACAGTCCTGCCGAACTGTGCGCTGGGTGAATTATTTCGAGTAATAATACGTGCGATTTGCTGTATCATCACCCCTTTTGCTATCCTGAGCCTATCTGGGAAGTAAAATTAGCAATCCCCCGTATGTAAGGTGTTCGAGGTCAGTCAGTGTTTGTAAATCGGAACAACGACCATGCAACCGGCGACCTCCCTCTACCGCTCGTGGTGTGAGGTGGTAGTTCACTAGTGGTTTGAATAACTGCACCAAGCATACACAGAAGGCCCATTCAGACTCACCACTGCAAAGTATCATTTCAATATTTACACGAATCCAAAAGCACATAATAATTAACCGAGGCATTGGTCTCATAGTTAACTATATTAAAAATACGTGTATCATACGTGGGAGGGCTGCCGGTATCCAAAAGAATCGAATCAATGGAAACCATGCTATCAGCTTCATGAAGAATGGAGCGATCACAGGACTACATTTGGGCAATTGCTCCAATGGCGTTATACACGCAGCCAGTTTACCATGGTTATCCTCTTCGCCTAGAAGACTGCTCTAACGCAGCGGAGTGAGCTTGGTTTCGGGTTGAGAAACTCATTCTAGTGGTACTCACAGTTCCCCGTAATTGGTAGTGTCAGGGATACCTAATTCCTTCAACCTTGTGCTCGAAAGGATCATGGTTGACTCCAACCGAGTTGCTTCCTGTGGAGTGGGAAATTCGGTCTTCACTGATTGAAAAACTTAGAGTACGTCAATGGTCTAGCTATTCTCCAATCTGACGACCTCCGTGAAAACATTGCCGAGTAGCATTACATAGAATGCTGGGCCGTTTGGCGTAGGATTCATATTTTCGTGACTCAAGATGTGCGCTGCAAAATCGGACTGGGAAATAACAAGTCCTCACGATCGCCAAAAACCCGAGAAACTAGTTGAGCTGTCCATTTATCGGGATAGTTGTGGCACTTCCACTGCTCAATCCAACGAACAGGTCAAGTATCATTAAAAGCCTGTGAAATTTTCGAAACGAGCTAATCCAGGAATGTGGTGAGGCGTGAGACAATAAGATGCTCGTAAGCAGAGTGCCTACTGAGGAAATCGGAAGACTTTAATCCGAGCAACGTCGATATTCACCAGGTACCACACCGACTGTCGCCGCACTAGTGCCAGTTGAACTCAAGCCGTCAATGATGACTGGATCATGTCCTAGCAGCGCGTGAGATTTTCAATCGGTGTCGAAAGGTCAGTTGCGATTCATGGGAGAAAGGAAGCCAATAAGATTTACATAAGAAGCATTAAGTGGGGGGGGGGGGGTAATGAACTGCGATGCGTGGAAAAGTCGATAATACCGAGAAGTACAAAAACAGATTTTCTCTAAAAATGAGACAGCTAATAGGAAGGCCCCAAAATCCACGCTCGTTAATCAGCATTATAGTAGCGGCGCTTAGTAAATGAGACGTGAGGGTAGTAGAGTGTTCAAATATGCCGGAAGAAGAATTGGTTTGGTGAGCGCAGGAACAGTGTGGCCTAAGATAAAGGATCTTTAGCAACAATCAAATCAGACCGGTGGATTCCCCTCTGACTGACCAGTGCTGATGGAAGAGTAAGCGTTAATAGATCACTCGTCAAATACAAGAAGACCCTTCCATGCTTTACTGCAACCAGTTACAACAAAGTCTACTAAATACAGGGACTAAAATCATACCCTTCCGGTTGCGTGAGAAGCAAATGTACGTGGTCACAGGTACCACTTGTTTTCCACGAGGACTTCGGTTTCAGAGCCACGGTTATTTGCGTCGACCACTGCCTTCCAACTTCGCACCGCCACTCACCCCCTCCCAGGTATCGCCTCAGTCACGTGATACATCACTGAAAGCTATCCACAGGTGACATTGGTATTCTACGATAATGTCTCTTTCAGAGCGACAGTGATAGGCCCCGCCAATGGCCTCTCGACGTAACCATGCCACTGAGCCACCTCCCAAGTATCGCTTCCGACATGTGATGCATCATTGAAAGCTATTCACAGGTGACAGTGGTCTTCTATGATATGCCCCTCCCATTGCCTTCCGACGTCAGGATGCCACTGCGCGCATTCTCACCTATCGCCTTCGCTTTGCCATGCCATGCCATTGCATCACCTGCTTCACCCGGTTCTCCATGACATCAAGTAAGTACGTGTACGCTAATCGCTTTCCTTTCCACGGATATGGGAAGTACAGCCAGCTCCAAGCGTCGCAGCACTGTTAAACACCGTCCGCATGAACACCACAACCCCTGCTTCACATTGCCAAGTGAGTCAACGCTTTCATAGTCCGATTTCACAGCACAGGTCACCTCGTAGAT